CAAGGAGCTATCACATATATATATATATATATATATTTCTTATGTTCTACAACTCATATAACTAAACATCCTCATCATATTCTATTAATTAACTCGGGCCATTTAACCCTAGAAAAAAAATATATCAAAAACTATTAATTGATCCAAAAGATTAAAATATATAAATGTTGAAGACATACAAAAACTTAAACATGAGATATTTAAATAACATAGAAAACAATAAATATTGTCTACTTTTTTATTTTTTTTACTTTTTTGTCTTCTACCTCTATATATTTTGTCTTTTAATTAATCTACAATGAAGCATTAGATCAGAATATTCTTGTTACAAATATAAAAGGCCACATTTTTTGTTAATTAATTATGTTATTAGTATAAATATAATTATATAAAAAGAGAGAGAAATTAAAAGAAATGCTATGCTAAACATGATATTCTCAATAATAAAAATTCTATTATAATAGTAATTATTATATATTTGTGCTATAACTTTTAAATCACATGTGATTGTTTAAATTTGTATGGCAATCAAGATCTAAAACCTCTGGATAATTCATATACAAAATTATATGTACACACACACACACACAGAGAGAGAGAGAGAGAGAGAGAGAGAGAGAGAGAGAGAGAGAGAGCACCCAATGATTTAATGGCCCATGACCTTTATGCTTTTGGTTGTTAACTTGATCAAAAGTGAGATTCCACTGGTTTGTAATCACAGACAGAGAAGTCTGGGCTCCATATGAGAAGATTTTGATTCTTCTTCTTGTTTCTGTCGGGAAGCAAACAAATATTGAGTTAGAAACATTTTTCATATATCCATATACCTTTCTAGCCTTAACTAACAAAGCCAACAGATCTAGAGAACCTTTTGGATGGTAGAACTAACTATCTTCATTAATTATAGAAATTCTTTGCTTAGTAGTTGCCTCATAATTATTATTTTTTCAGTAATTAGTATTCCTATACTCTTTTATATTGTTTCTATATTAATGTTAAAGCCGAAACATGGAAGTTCTTTATCTGTGGTCACCTTATAATGATATCTCAACTTGCTTTAAGACTTTCACCAATTTCAACCACTGGCCAACTTAGAATTGAAGAAAATTTGTGAGGCTGGTTTATCTAATCATGAGAAACTCTGTGTTCTGCCAAATTAAATGATTAATTATGCTTATTAACAAGTTAATCCGTTTCATTCATTAGTATTTATGACTCATGAATCCTGATTAACTATAATTATGAAAGAAGTTGATCTATCACGCCATTAAGAATAACCTCAATAGACATAAAAAAAAATCATTAATAATAATCAATGTTTCATCTTATTTAATCATCAGTCACGAAATTCTTATCTCCCAAAGCAGCCGACACTAATGACTGGCTTTGTTTCGGGATTAAGAGTCAAAGGCGATTTATAACATGAATGAAAGAAGACAATTTATCTTATACTAGCTATAAGATTTGTCAACTTTCACCTACAATAATTCATTAATTAGGTTTTTATTTTCTAAAATTACATAATTTAATTGATAGTGAATGATACAGAAAAAAGACTGCTTTTGTGTAAGGAGCCACTGTTCAGATACCCGATATCTGAAGTTTTTCGTCTTCATTCATGGCGTTATTAACTGTCGTACTGTGCTTTGATTTTTTTTTGTTTGACTTTAGGCAAATTAGGATGAAAAAAAGGTTCATGAAGGAATATCCGAGCG